TGCCACCGAGTGAGGTCGTCGAGCCAGTGATGGTCTTGGTCAGACTTGCCGTGGAAGAGGACATGTTGCTGATGAGCGACTTTGTTGCACTGAAAATGCTCTTACGGAAGCCCTTTCTCTGCGCAATAAGCTCGCCTAGAATTTTGATCTGCCGCTCGGCCCAGGGAACCAGCGATTTGGTGATGAATTCTCTGTGAAATGACAGACAACACAATGATTGATTGCCTCTTTGTTGATGTAAAATTGCAGCTGCAGTTTAAAAGCGCCTACCTCAACATGAGATCAATCGTACCAGAAATCGCCTCCGAAAGCACCTTCAGCTGCTCAGCATGATGAGCCGATCCAATCCAGTCGTTGAACATCTCCCGAGTGTTCACCGCAGTGACACTCGCTGTCGTGGAGCTCGCACCACCAGCGTTTGACGTAGTGCTGTTCTGCTGTTGTTGCTGCTGCTGCTGTTTCTGCATCTCAGTTCGCTGATTAACCAGCTGATTGTAGAACCTCGAGTTGGTTCCGCTGGCCGACTGCTGAAACTCGAGTGTGGCTGCATTCAGTGGATCAGTGGCTTGATCGTCACCAATTGAGAGTGAGCTCATTTCCGAATTGAGAGATCGCTGGTGTTCAGCGGTGTCGCCATCACCAACTGAAAACATTGAATTTGCATGCTGACTCTGCTCCTGCAACTGCTGTTGCTCAATGAAGAAGATGAACGAGTTGGGAAACTCCACCTTAAGCTGATGACACGTTCGGGTGTATCCATCGTCGGCAGAAGCACCAGCAGAAGGCTCAAGAACTTGGTCACTCAGTACGATAAAGTAGCGAACAAAGTCAGACTGAATAAAGCGCAGTGTAGAGTTTTGTTTCACCTAGAATGGGTAAAATAAAAGAGTTGTAAGTTGAGCTGCGTTTGAGCAAAATTCCTGCTTACTGAAGAACAAAGTCGCTCAAAGATGACTTTGTAGTGAGGCAATTCGTGTTTGGTTATCACAAAGAAACACCCACAGTTTGAGCCGATAAAGTCGTGATCAGATGGTTCAAAGGTGTCTATGAAAATGTTTCGCCAAAGGTCATACCAGGGTGTTTCAACGTCATCCTCGTCACTTTCCAGAGCCGCAGAAGGATTGTTCAGGTAGGAGTTGGACATGGAGGAGATGACGTCAAAGTGCAGCTTCTTCAACTGTGTCCCGCTCGGACGTGTCTTGAACTGCTCCACGTCGAAAAAGCGGAACCGCAGTTTATTGAGTCCGTAAGCATTGTGTCCATTCAAGTCTCTGATTGTTACTGTTGAGAAGGGAAAAAGGTAAACAGATGACTGCAAGTTGAGTTGCTAGAGTGCCTAACTTACAGCGTAAATCTGAAATTGAAGCAAACTGGTTGAGTACACTGGCGAAGGAGGTGACATTGCCAAAGCAGCTTTTGATGTACTGTCGAGCCTGATCGGTGTGTACCAGGACGATATTGCAGGAGAACAACTTTGAGACTAGCTCTTCAAACGAAGAGTCGGCCGTGCGCTCGGAAGCCGCCCCACTAATTGAATGAATGGACGTTGTTGAGGCCGTAAAGGAAGGGGAAGATGGGAAACTGTTGGCATTTTTCATAGTTCTTCACCGGTGTGCCTCTAGGGAGGCAGCTGATTAGCAGATGTAGTTCACAGGTATCTGCAACACTGAAAATGATCGTCTTTAATTGTAAACATAAGTAAACGTCAACACTTACACTGCAGGTGGCGAAGGCTGGCTATACGGCTTGCACAGAGTAGACTCCAGTCACTGTTACATTAGAAATAGGGTAAAAAGATTACAAAAAAATGTTAGGCTTCGCTGCTCCAAGGAATAAATTAAACTTCAAGAAGTTAGGGTCTAGTGATCATGTTGTAGCAAGCAGCTGGCGTGATCACTGATCATCTAAAATGTAGCAGTTTATCCTCAAAACAATCACTGGGCAGCGACCAAAAACGCCACCTAGTGGATGTACGTGCGCCCTTTACCGCGAAATCAAATAATTTTCCAGTTTTAATTAGCCAAACTAAACGTGCTCTAACATTGCCTAATTACTGCTCTTGGCTCCGGCCTTGGACCCAGCCACAGCAGAGCTTGACTGCACGGAGTTCTGCTTTGATGCCACTTTTAGAGACGATTTGGAGGCGTTGCTTGTGCTCGCTTGCACCGACTTGGACTTGGAATCTCGGCGGCAGAAGATGCAGACGAAGGCAATGGTGAGGAGGAGGACCAAGAAAACCGCCCCCACAATGCCGACAATGAGGCCCACAGAAAGCGAGCTGCCAGTGCTGCTCACAGCTGTGTACACACTGGTACTGCTGACGTATGGATGGACATTGTCATCAGCGGCACAGTGGGCGTCCGCTCCGGCGCAAAAGGCGGCAAAGTCCTTTAGTGCCTCCTTACAGCGCGACCCAATGCCAACTGATCCGCAGCGGACGTTGACGGTGACATTGCAAAATACATCAGCCTTCGCAGTCTCGGACTTGCATAGAGAGACGAAGCAAAAGCAGCGAATGATTCCCATGCAGCAGAAGCTATTGGTGACCACTGGGGGCAGGTTGGCCTTGCCGATTCGCTCGGTGCATCGGGCTGTGATTTGATCGGCAACAGTGTCATTATCATTGGCGGCTGTCTTCCCTGAAATGACAATCACCAGAAAAGCTAAACAAATGCAAGTTGAAAGTTGAAACGTCATGACTGAATAATATTGTGTGCCACTTGAGAACGCCTCAAACTACATGTTACATGTGCTGTTACAATTCGATAAACGCAGGTTTAATTTAGAACTGTTACATGAGAGCCTTCTTCAGTTTGGCATACGTCAGCTTGGTGACCTTTCCTTTGGGTACCTTCCCTTTGACCTTACGAGGAGTGAAGGCTCTGCTGTCAAATGATCCTGTCTGGGACTGGTTTGGTCGAGATTTGGTCGACTTGGCGTGAAAGACTGACTTTATTACGTTTTTGTCTTTTGTCTTTGTCAACTTTCCCTTTGGTTTTGTTGATTTCGATTTCGATTTAGACTTGTCCTGGGCCACAGCTGACTTTCGCTTCGAGCTGTTTGACTTGCGTTTTGAGCCTTCTGAACGGGATTTGCGCTTTGACTGAATCGTTCCAAGTTCATTGCTTTTCTTTGACTTTGATTCTGGCAAGTACCAATGGACAATTAACCAAGAGGCGGCGATTCCAAGAAGCAGCACCAGAACGGCAGCGATTATGAAGGGAATCAAGAGGGAGGTCTTTCCTGACTTTTCCTTCCTACCCCAATGGTCCTTGTCCATTCCTTTGCACTTTTCAGCAAAATTTGCCTCACTCACACTGGAACAGGATTTCTGGTACTCGTCATTGCAAGACTTGTACAAACTATCAGCCAAACAGTCCTTTTCCAAGCGAAAGTCCTTCGTCTTACAGAGTGCTTTTATGCAAGTACAGCCCATGAAGTCAGCGCAGCACTTGTTCCACTTGCTGTTAACTACATGGTCAGACATCTCTTTGGCACATTCATCTTTCACTGCCGATGTTGGTCTAGAAAGTAGAGAAAAATGTAAAAACAATTAAGAAAATGTGCAACAACAGATTTTTACCCTTTGGCGTGAAGCAAGACAACAGTCAGCGATAAATGAAAAACCAGTTGAAATACAAAAGACATTTTCAAAAGCAAAAATTGCTGTTAAAAACCTTTTATTAGTCTGCCAAAAAAGTGACTATTGAAAGTGGAAAAAGTTCCATGAATTGAATCGAAAAATGATTGCATGTGAAATTACTAAAAAAAGTAAAATCTACTTGGCAACTTCAAAACCAAAAAAGGCAGATATGTATCTTTGGAAAAGTAGAGGAAACTCTGATTTCACCGTTTCTTGAAGCATGATAATGTTCCTATTTTGGTCATCTTTGACCATAAAGAACTCTTGTTTGTTTCCTTTTACTGACTGAGAAAATGAGTACAATATTGTCTTCGGCACCACACTAACAGTCGGTATCATTCGGTTTTTTCGAATCATCAATTCTGTAAAACTTAGTGGTTTTTGAGGAGGCTTGGATTCATTCACTTTTTTATAAGCCTTTCGCTTAAACTCGTCGATTTTATCGGGAGCATAAAAATAGCACGATGATACCCATTGATGTTCTTTCATGTCGTCACCAAGAAGAAGGTATTCAGTGTCCAAGTCATACTCGTCCTTCCGTTCGCCAGTTATTTCAATGACATTCTTGACAGCCAACGGCCGTTCTTTGATAGATAATCCAGGATGAGAACTGAAGAGGTAGGCATCAGAATAGCTCTCTTTTTCGTCGTCTATACTTTCAATGGGTGTTTGATACTGCGAGGCTTTTTTCTTTTCATTTGGCTTTGCCTTTTTCTTAGTATTTCCAGTGGTGCCTTGACTTTTTCTGGGTGGCATGTTTGCGAAGTTTCGAAGATGGCGATGCACAATGAAAATCCAAATCAAAGGAAATCTTGCCGTTGATTTTGTTGTTTATTTGCGGCAAAGTACCATCAAAGGCTACTGCCACAGTGGCTACTGAGTTGGACATTTGCCCCCAACAGAAAACTGCAAGCTTTCAGTTTCTCCGTGAGAGAGAACAGCACTGTGAAAGCAGAGATTGCTGTTTTCAGTTCAAGGGAAAAGCGCACTCCAAATGAGAGCGCACTCTGTGGAAGTAGCCCCGTCAAAGACACTGTCGGTCAGCCAACGAGGATTTGCGAAACTTGTGTATTCCTTTTGCCCATCTGTTTTGACCGTGATTTCTGGTGAAGTAACTGATCTGCTCACCGAACCAGATTGAGGCGACGTCGTTTTGAGCCAAGTTTGGATCGGCATCACCTCACACTTCGTAAGTAGCCCATGGTGGTAGCCCCATCACCGTCTTCTTCATCGTTGTTCAGCCTGTAGAGAAATCACTGCTACCGCCACTACTACTGCTGCTGTTTTTTATTCTTCTTTTGAACCCGGTCTTTGCCATTCTCAAGTATTATTATCTGTTTTTCTATTCGTTTAGGCTATGGCGCAGATTTTGTCACGATCTTCTTCGGCTTTGGCTAAGCTAAAGAACAAGCCAATCACCGTGATCACTTGCAATGCAAAGGTAAATACTGCAAAATACTCGCTACAGTATAAACTTACATCTTTTCATTTGCTTTTTTACAGAGCAACATGTCTTCGTTTACATCGTCTGGCAATGGAAAGCGTAATATCGTACGTTTTATAAAACAGTTTTAAAGCATCCTTACTTACGAAACCTTTCTTTGTCCAATCAGTATTTGAGTACCGCTGGTGCTGTCAGCGCTGGCGCTCTTGGCTTCCTCTACACGCTTCACCAATCGGTTCAAGCTTCCGACCTGTACCAACACCCCCCACACTACCCCTGGCCGCACAATGGTCCTTTCAAGGGCTTCGACCACAAAGCCATCCGTCGAGGCTACGAAGTGTACAAGCAAGTGTGCTCTGCTTGCCACAGCCTCCGTTTTGTCCGCTACCGTGAGCTGGTCGGCGTTTCGCATACCGAAGAGGAGGCTCGCGCTGAAGCCGAAGAGGTACTTGCTTTGCGTGCTTTAATGAGGTGACATAAGCCTGAGCAAATGCATTCTCTTCTCCTCTAGATTCAAGTCCAGGATGGTCCTAACGATGCTGGCAAGATGTTCATGCGGCCTGGCAAGCTGTCGGACTCGGTTCCTTCGCCGTACCCGAACGAAGAGGCGGCCCGTGCTGCCAACAACGGCGCCTACCCACCGGATCTAAGCTACATCGTCTTGGCTCGTCACGGCAACGAGGACTACGTTTTCTCGCTTCTCACTGGCTACCAAGAGACGCCGGCTGGTTTTATGCTGGGCGAAGGACAGCACTTCAACCCGGTCTTCCCTGGAGGTGCCATCAGCATGGCCCAGTCACTCTTTAACGAGGCTGCAGAGTACTCGGATGGCACTCCGGCAACTGCCTCTCAGTTGGCCAAGGATGTAGTCACCTTCCTTTCGTGGTGCGCTCAACCCGAACTTGACACTCGCAAGAAGATGCTCACCAACGTAAGTGAAGTTCATTTGGAAAAATAACTCTAATGAACTAATGAGCCATTTTCCTAAACTTAGGTTATAATTATCGGAACCATTTGTTGCCTGTCGTTGACGTTCTTTTTACGCTATTCAAAAATTTCAACCAAGACGCGTAAAATCTTGTTCCGCAACAAAAATCTTCGAGGTAATCAAAAGTAGTCTGCCAACTGAAGCGTCTGCAAACAACATCGTCCTTCAACAAACCGGCCAAGTGAATGTTTATATTCGAGTGAACGTTGGCAACGATCCTTTCACATCAATTATTTACTGTCTATATAGATTCTTTTAAAAATAATTTATAAATATAGAATTGATGAATTTCATTCTAAAGACCTGGCGAGTTTTCAGAACAAACAGGAAATCTCATAATAATTTGAAAACCGTGCGCTACAACTGCCAAAAAAGTGACTACAAAATGATTACTCAAAGCGAATCAGTCGAATGCGCTTGTAGTCGATGAAAAGGCACGCCGGTACTTTGGCTCCTTTGGTAGAGGAGACCAGGGTGAGCAGATTGAAGGTGCTGTTGGCTTGGAAGCCCTCCTCTGCAAACTCCTGGTGAGAGCGAACGGCACAGAAGAGCCTGCTCGAGGAGATGAACAGCTCAAAGTCACGGTTGTTGAACACTGACTCACTGCTGCCTTTGCCGATCGGCTGTTGCTGAGGCGCAGCTTCACCCTCGAAGCAGGGCTCGCCCACACTAGAACAAATGGGAAGTTAGTTGAGGGAGAGAGGGAACAGTGGAGCGTACATACACCACTTGAAGCAGAAGTTCGCTCATCAGGTGCTCATACTCGGTGGAGGCGACTGAGCTCAGTGAGTTGCTCGCCTCCAGACGGCCTTCACGGGAGGCGGCGGTGCTGCTGCTGGCACTGCTGCCGTACTCGCAGACCAACTTCATGTGCGACAGAGAGAACTCCCGGGGAATGCCCGAGTGGGAGGCGAAGATGCTGTCCTCGATGACGGCCGCAATGGGAAAGCTGTCAAAGATCTGCCCCAGCAGATTGCAGACAATGTCATTGAGCGGCTCGTCGCTGCGATCACTGTCCTGCATTTGAATCTGCTGGCGGCCGGCCAGTTCGTTGCTGCCGCGCAGCAGAAAGACCCGGCCGGGAGAGAGAATCTTCATGCAGATGAGGTAGATGAGACACTCCAGGTTGGCAGTCGACTCGGCGTCGGTGTAGTTGCCGAGGAAGAGCAGGTTCGTCGAGTCGATGAAGGGAAAGGTGCGAAAGACGGTGGCACTGAAACGAAGCAGGTCTTTCAGCGATCCATTCAGGTCGCCAAAGACAAAACAAGGGGCGTTCAGCTGATGTTTGGAGAAAGAGAATGGATTTGTTAGTGAAAACACATAGAAGGTAGGGCGAAAATGACACATACCTCAAGGACTTTAGCGTCTTGCTCAATGAGAGGCTTGACGTACTCTAAAATGAGATGCAGGTAGCGCATCATCTTCTGACGATTTGGAAAGAAAAAGTTCTTTGCAGTGTCCTCCTCATCCGAGTCCGCCGAGTGCTGTTCCCCGAGAGCGCCGATCTTTTCAATGCGAATCAGAAACTCATTGGCAATGCTGTGAATGTTTTTCTCCTGAAACTCCTCAGCAAAGCTGATCTGGTTCATATCGGCAGGGGCAACTGCTTTGAGGTGGAAAATCTTTAGAACGTTTCCCACGTCGGAAAGTTGAACCAAACTTGAGGAGAGCGCAAACTTTAGCTCGCTACAAGCTTCACAGCGGCTAAAATGAAGTTAAGAAGGTTATTTCTTATGAAGACACTGACAAAGCATTACTTACGTGTGGTAAATCGTCTGATCAACCAGCTGTTGAACAGCTGATGTGGGCTCATTGCGGCAGTTCAATTTGAGGAAAATTTGCTCATAAAATGGCACAGTTGGTAGCCAGCAGGCAGTGATGCCCAGATCAAGGTTGAAGGTTTCAAATGCCTGCAAGTACTGCTCAAAAGTTAAACTACTGCCTTTCCAGGTTTTCTCGAGAATCTCCTTGATCAAGTCTGGCTTGGTTTTGTTGTTTAGTCGTTTTAGTTGCTCGTCAACTTTGCTGCGGCTGACAAAGTCGATTACCAGCTGCTTGTACTCCTCTTGATCCAGCTTTCCGTCTCCATCGAGGTCATAGAATCGAAAGATGTACTGTTGTCGGTTGGGCAGATCTGCAATGTCGTTGTTGCTTTCAAAGATAATCAGCCCAACGCAGAGATCTTCAAAGTCAATAAAGGAACGAAAATGACGATCGATGCCTCGAAAGAGGCGTTTTCGCGGCTCAACGGCCGTGTTTGTGGAGCTGACGGCTCCCACGACCAGGCCAAGTTTGTCGAGCAAAATGCAAAAAGATGAGAAGCTCATCGAATTGGAGGGAAAGCACTGTACGGCGAACTCGTTGTACAGGTTGAAAACTGCGTGGTCGAACATGTTGGGAAGATTTCGCTGAACTGACTTGATCATGGCACTGAGCCAGTCAGTGCGACCGAGTACGGCACGAGGGTGGCTGCTGTCAACCTCAGTCAGTCGAAACTGAGCCGCATCAATCCTGCCCGATTGCACACTGGTGGCTTCAATCTTGGAGCGAAGCTCCTGGTAGATACCAAAAGGCTCCCCTCCCCAGATGTTGCCGATGTTGCTGGGAATTGACTTCAGGGATATCCAAACGGTGTCTTCTGAGTTGGTGGTGCGATTGAGCTGAGCCAGTGAGTCACTTGGATGCTGGTTTGCATGGCTTGAAGCAGAGCAAATGCAGGGAACCTTGTCGCTGCTGTTTGTGGCCTTCTTGGCAAGGACAATCTGGTAGATGTAGCGATGCACAAAGGAGCGTGTTTTCAGCAACTCAATGCGATAGAGATCAATGAGTCGCATCTGCGGCAAAAAGCCAAAGTCGTCTGCAGAGGAATGAGAAAAGAGTGATGTTTACGGCATGATGAGATGAGTGAAGCAACCGAAATACCGTTTAGCATTGACTGGTCGTGCATGCCCACCACATTGCGCACTGTGTCTGAGAGGGACTGAGAGTCGCCGTCAAACTGGAAGGTGGGCAGGAAATAGCAGTCATTGACGATCTGCTTGAAGGCAATAGCCTGGTGTTGCTGGCAAATGACCAGGAGGCAGATGACATCCTTGGGAATGCAGTGACTCTCCGCCTCCAGGCAGGTGAACTCTGCTGAGCCGGCAGAGTAGGAGTCTTCGTCCAGTGCCTTGCTTTTCCCCTCCGCGTCACCGAAACCGATGCTGGCCAGAGTGTTGATGCTGGTCACACTTTTAGAGCGCAACTCGGCATCCGCAGGTACAGGATTAGAGTTGGCCATCTTCCTCGCAAGATGTAGTAGTTTTCGTCAGCAGGCTTTACAGTCAACTGAAAATGTAAGGCTCTACAACACGTCTTTACTACCAAAACTCAACAAACGCTCAAAATATTCGAAAAGTTTTTGAAATAACGTTGTGTCTTTTACTACGGTATGATTTGTTGCCAAATTAATTTTCTTACAAATCATCATTAAAATGTTTACATCCACTGGCACTTAAATATCGGTGATTGGTCACTGAAAAATATTTTTAAAACGGGTTTGATCTTTCAGTGCAGTTTCCATTTCATTTTCCCTTTTTTTTCGTGCNCACTGGCACTTAAATATCGGTGAGTGGTCACTGAAAAATATTTTTAAAACGGATTTGATCTTTCAGTGCAGTTTCCATTTCATTTTCCCTTTTTTTCGTGTTTACTTTTACTGTAGGTAGTGCACTTTCTGGTAAAAAATTTAAAATGAAAACTTTTGCTCACAGTAGAAGCAGTATCAAGAGAAAATCTGACGATGCTGACTTTACTTACCACTAGCTCTCTTCATTACTTATTTATCGGTGTCATTTTGGTCCATTTACAAAATTAGTCATAACAGTTTGGTGGCAATTCACTCGAACAAATCAACGACTCAAATGGCTCTTTCTTTCTCTTCACCTTGCGGCCCAAGTAGCGCCAATGTTGGCTAGTTTCAGTTTTCTCCACAATACTGAACCAAAGTCAGGCAGTACTTTCTACCGTTATTTTTCCACTGACCGCTGCATCAATAGGCAACTCTGGTGCTTATTGACCATCAATGCTGAATCTAATCAAATGTTCTATTGCAAGTTGGCACTCTTGCTGCAGATTTTTTTTGTAGCCATCAAGCAGTCGCTGCTACTGATTACTATGCACTTTATTATTTATGGTCAAGTAAATAATCGGCCATATTCAATTGTGTCCGGCTGTCTACTGGCATTGCTTGCCCACCAATATATGAGCGGGCCGGTAACTGTCCTGCTGCTGCTGCCGTACCCAAATGGCATAATAATGCCCAACTGAAGATTTTTTCTTTTGGCAAAATCGATTGCTGGATTTGTCTGACAATTCTTTTTTGAGTATTGGTGTGTGTGCTTCTTCTTGCAAAGTACATGGAGTTACTTCCGTTTCAAACAAATGTTTTTTGAAAATTAATTGCTTACGACAGACAGTTTTATTGTTTACCATTTTTAAATAAAAATCTTTAAAAATAAAAAGTCATTTATTAGAGTTATTTTTGGTTTTTTACATGTTGTAAACCTTGTTGTTATTAGAAATGTTGAACTGTTAAAAAATCTAGTTTGATAAAAGTTTGTAAATGCATCGTTTGAATGNGGCATTGCTTGCCCACCAATATATGAGCGGGCCGGTAACTGTCCTGCTGCCGCTGCCGTACCCAAATGGCATAATAATGCCCAACTGAAGATTTTTTCTCTTGGCAAAATCGATTGCTGGATTTGTCTGACAATTTTTTTTGAGTATTGGTGTGTGTGCTTCTTCTTGCAAAGTACATGGAGTTACTTCCGTTTCAAACAAATGTTTTTTTGAAAATTAATTGCTTACGACAGACAGTTTTATTGTTTACCATTTTTAAATAAAAATCTTTAAAAGTAAAAAGTCATTTATTAGAGTTATTTTTGGTTTTTTAGATATTGTAAACCTTGTAGTTATTAGAAATGTTGAACTGTTAAAAAATCTAGTTTGATAAAAGTTTGTAAATGCATCGTTTGAATGTTTTTTTTGTAATATCAAAAGCAATCTTTTAAAAATCAGCTAAAACAGTTTTAATACTAGCAGTAAAACATCAAAGCACGTAAACATAATTAGCATTAGATTAGTTACTT